TTATACACAAAAAAATAAATTTATTTTAAATATAAATGTTAATCAAATTGTATAAATACAGAAATATATATATTTAAATACTAAAACGTGTTTGAATTTTTATTTTATGGTAATATTTATTTTTATATTAATGGTGAAACTTTCGTTTTCCATACAAAGTTGGAATACCAAAATCTAGCACTATGCGAACAGATTTTCAAAACAATTTTACAAATTACGTTAGCTATAACTTTTTTAATAAACTATCTAATGATAGACGTGTTCAAAGTGTTTCTCTGAATAATCCATAAAAATATATAAAAAAAAAACAACAAAAAACTGTCATAACGTGATTTTTATGTTAACTAATTGTTTTTTCATTACTTATATAAAATTTGGATCCTGATGTTTTTGAGTTTGTCCATGTAGCCAATACTAGTTTAACGCTATTACTCACCCTATATTATACTTATTTTAGAAACGAAAATGTTTAATATTATATAATATACAATAGACTCTTTTGTAATGTGCAAAAGTAATCTTTTTTTTTTTTTTTTTTTTTTTTATTGATCTTTAAAGCCCGGCGACTATAGCCATTAGCTGTTTGTGGGGTTTTTTTATGATTGTAGGTAGTAAGGTTTGTAATGGTAGGGTTTTTACACGTGTGTGTTGTGTTTTTGGCAGAATTTTTGATTGGGCACCCGTAGGTATCTGCCATGCCCGGGTGGGGGATGGCGGCACTTGTTCTCCGGACACCGTTACTTGTCCGAAGAAAAATGCCACCTGTGGCCAAGGAATCGAACTCGGGTTGGCTGCGAAAGTCGAAGCTGAAGCCTTGGTCAGCTCGGCCACTCCGTCCCCCAAGTACACTTTTAAATGTACTTTATAACACAAATTATTACCAAACATTTTTTGAACAATTAAGATGTATAAGTGTATAACATGTAAATATAAAGGAATACAAATTAAAAACTATCGCTAAAATAAAAAAATTTATAATAAAATGAAATAATAAATTTTAAAATGTTTATATTTATAATAACTGTAGACTTTGAAAATCTAAAGAATAAAGATAATCTAAGTATAATCTTACAGGTCAAAATAAACAGAATCCATCATAATATTATCATACACGTTTCGTTTTAAAATTACCTGAAAAGAATACTGTAAAATGCATGTTTAAAATATTGTCTAAGTAAATCAAGTACCTATAGTTTATAAAATTAAATAACTTTATTTAAAAGTAATAAGTAATAATCTATTAATATACCTCAATATGCTACATCAAATTAATTTGTAGATATGCTTCAATTTCTCGTTGGTTAAAATAAATTTGTTATTTAGGTACTCTTTACTTATTTTTCATGGTTATAATATTATAGTGATTAACATAAGCTAGGAAATCGGATGTATATGAACATAATACAGTATACATTATACATAGGTATTACATATTATACCATATATTATACAAACAGTATGTGCATAATATATTAAGTAATATGCATGAAACCAAATTACTAATCATAATGTGGAATATTTATTGACATTAGACATACATTGTTTTTGAAAATAATATACAATTCACGTATGTTGATCGTATGTTACATTATATTATATTAGAACAACAGGAATTTAAATTTCAAAAAACTTTGTCTAAACAAGTAATAGTTTAATAAAAGAATGAAACCGCTTACTTAATACCTACTTCTATTGTTCTTTTGTCCATTTAATTTTTGTAATTTAACTTTTAGCCCCTATATGGAAATAAAAATGATTTATTATTTTCTTTTACCAAATTATGAAACCACTTAAATCCATATAGACCATTATAGTCTTAAGGGTACTTATTTTTTTTTTGTTTTTTTTTTTTTTATATAAATTACCTGTGCTATGACTTATGTTTAATTGTATTGAAAAAGTACTTAAAAATACTTTAATTTTTAATTTTTATAGTACCTACACAATACTCATATTAAGATGGGAGTAATAAAAAATACCAACATTTGCAACATTTATAAATATATTTTTGTACTAAAATGTATAAACCCAGCTATAATAAGTATAATATTATCATGCACTTTAATTTGAATTTTAGGCTATGACATTATTTATATTAGCTGATATTTTATTTCCTATCAAAACAATTATTTTATGAGTGTATCATTAATACTGCCACTACCGTTTTACAACCTAATTTTTCCTAATTGAGGTTTAGTTCTGATATAAATATGTGAAGGGCATAAGAACTATTCAGTCCGTTATAAAACCAATACAACCCTAATACATAGTTCGGATTATTAAAACAGTCATGCGATGGACAACGATTCCCATAATCACCACCTTTAATATTCATGATATTGATTTCCATTCTTGTAAAGTATTAGAATACAAGTACTTAAATACTTTTTGAAGTATTTCTATGGTATTCTAAATACAATTTTTTTAATGTATTTTTCAAGTATTTTGAATACTTTTTAAAAGTATTTTTAACAAAATTTAAATACTTGTATTAAAATACCATAAAGTCCATTTTATTAATTTTAATTTATAGTTTTTCACAAAAAATTCACAACAATAAAACTAATATTATATTTTTGTACAGTAAAAGTAGGTAATAACAATGTTTAAAATTAAAAAAATACCACATCAGATTTTATATTTTTTCTGTATTGGAATTTTTTAGAAAACTGAAAAACTAATAATTTTAAAATTGTTCCATATTAAAAGTTAATACCACTTTTTATTTTATTTTTTTCGTTAAAATTTAATCAATATTAGTTGAAATATATCTAAATCCAGAATGAAATATGTGAACATGTATTTATCTCTAAATAGTATGTATATATAATATATATATTATAGAGGTAGCATAAAATTAAAAAAAATACTTGTATATGTATTCAAATACTTTGTGAGTATTCGTAAAATACATTTTTATAATAGTATTTTAAAAGTATTTTTAATACTTTTTTTATTCGAATACTAGTTTTGGTATCTCAATACTTTTTCAAAAGTATTTTTTACAAGACTGTTGATTTCAATGTGTGTTTAAAAATAAAACCAATCGAATTATTACATTTCGGACTATATCGTGTCATTCACGAAGTTTTATTCATAGTATTTTAAAATTGTAGTACCTATGTTGGTAACAAATATATCAAAATTATTCTAATATATTTAAATGTCAAAATCCTTAAAAATAAAAAAATTAAACAAAAGGTTCAACTTAATATATTAAATAATCTATTGGTACACCGCTGGCGTACACAATTTAAGTCTTGAGATAAGCAGTACACGTATTATAGCAGAGCTTAAGTAAACACTTTTATTTACACGGTTAATTAAACGCTATTGACAAAAATAAAAAAGCAAATCACACACGGCAGTGTTTGTTTTCCTTCGCGGACAATCGAAACACGCGGAGCCGAGTGCATCATATAATACACGCAAATAAATTCAACTTTCGGTCGTAGGTAACAGCTCGCAGGATATTTACCTGACGGTTAACGTTATAATATTTGCAGGACGATTTTGACACAGCATGATATTATAATGTCCTCCAAAATCAGTCACACAATTATTATTAATGCAGCCGATTAATATAATATAATTATTATAATATTATTGGAAGGCACACCGAAAAGCCACCGATAACATCGGTGTAACACGCTAACACGACTGTTCGTAATTTCGCATATCATACCGTACGTGCATAACAATAACAATGAATTATAATATCTTATTATGTATTATTATATTGTAGACGGGCACGTATTATTGCACGGCAATGTCGTCGTCGCCGTCGTTGTCATTAAGCACGAAACGTTTTCCGCGCTCGGCGATAATCACATTATAATTTATAATATATTATTATATTTATTATACATCGTGATTGTGCTAGTATGGCGAAACGCACGCACGCGACGTACCTGTATAATATTGTTATTCTACAATGTGCCATATGTGGTACAGCTAGTTCAGAATCTCGTTAATATCAGACATAGGTACGAGGCCGGAATACTATCAAACTATCGAATTCATCAGATTACTGGAATTTTAATTTTTCATAACACCATTGTTAGTTTATTTCGAGAGATCAACACACACACTACACTGCATCTCTTATTATTTGTTACTTACCAAGTTAAGAAGTAGGTGACCGTGACCCATCTATGTGAAACAAGGGTTCGCTTTCTATGCATATAGTTACAGAATATCTTGTCTTAGTAATTGTATAGAAACGAAATTGTTTCGGAATTTGAAAGAAAGGAATATTTAGTATGCCCGACCAAATGTGAAGATGTGAACAATTCGGTTTTTCAATCCTCAATTTTTAGTTGGTAAACCTTATAGCGTCTACAGCCGTATAAGAATATATTATTAACGCTTGGCTTATGAGTTGAAATGCTCATACTTAGAATAAGGTTTTGTCTAAATCGTTCATTGATCAAATTATTATTATGGCTATAAAGCTAAAAAATATTTGTAACCGTTTGTTCATATTATAATTTCGTATAATTATGTCATAGCCGACAATAGCATTTACACTTGTATGTTATTTTAAAATAATATTTACATACATTTTAGTTGTTAAATTTGCATTTTTCTTAAAATATTATATTAATACATTTATAAATACATTTTGTTATTACACTATAAAGGACACGAGTATTATTCTTATTTAATTGTAATGTGCCAATATTTAATTAATAAGACCATCATCAATGTGTTCGCACGTTGTTTTCAAAGCTTCTATTAGCAATATTATTTAAAAATAAAGAATTCCATTAAATAAATCATATTCGTTTTTTTAATGCACCGGCTATAGTAGTATTAAAAATTATAATTTAAAACGGATTACCAGCTATGGTGCCTGAAGAACAAACCACATGTGACCGGATTTCCGGGACCACTTCAATGCTATGCAATTTGGTATCAAATATTATTATAACAATGTTTAATAAATAATAATAATACATAATATTTGATACTATGTATGTGTTATTATAGTCTCGCCGATGATATGGGTACCGAATCAGTTGGTTGGAGCTCCGTCCGGCACTGACGTGACGATCGATTGCCAGACGGAGGCGTATCCTAAGTCGATAAACTATTGGTCGTTTCGCGACTCGAAAACGATGCTATTCGCCAACAAGAAGTACGTGACGTCGGACTCCGAGAAAAGGTACCACATCCACATGCGACTCACTATCAGGGACCTGAGCCAATCGGATTTCGGCAATTACAAGTGCATATCCAAGAACTCGCTCGGCGAAACCGAGGGCTCCATCAGACTTTACGGTATTTAACTACCACGCACGTGTTATTACAATATTATTATATAATATGAAGAATTGTATAGCCCACCATCGGTGCAGGGTAGATGATGATTAATTTTATTTTTACTTTTGATACATAGGGCCCTCTTAAATGCCCTAAATTTTTTTATATATTGATTTTTATTTAATTCAATGAACATTTTAAAATTTTATTATTATAAATATACATTTGAAAAAAATACTTATAACAACTCTAAAAGGCCATCCGTACATCGTCCCCTTCCTAAATACGCTACTGAACATTATTCCACATTATGCTATACATATACAAGCTATAAGTACCATGATAATATATACCATGATTTTACTCGAGGTTTCGATTCGTGTAGACGCTGTCCGCCGAGTGTGGTAATTGTCCTAACCTAACGACCCCGTCACGGCAGTGGGCTTATTTTGTTGTATTTTATTATTCGTTTAATTTTTTCATTCTATTTTTTGTTTCCCCCCCGCAAACGTTAACTTCATTCCATTCTGGTTCCGGGGAACACTTCAAAGTCGACGAAGCCAATTATTCACGGTTCGTTTAAATCCCATTTCCCGATGTTCCACTTTCCGACAAAGTGTATGAAACAACAATTTTCCCCCTTACGTGGCAGACATCGATGTTACGTAAAAAGGCCGTGATTGATTAAAAAAAAAAAAAAAAAATACTAATAACGAAAAAAAACCAGGAATGGAATGATTATAAATTCTTTCGACTTGTTTACAGACGATTCGTCGACAAGTATAAACAAAGAAAGAAAGTATCTACTACCCTTATTCAAAGTTAAACAAGACGACAACGTTAACTGTGCACAATCCTAAAGCAGTGGACATTTTTCTATCTGATTAGATGTTCGATGCTGTATATAAAATAAAGTTTTACTGCCTCGGAGGTTCTAAATAAATTATACGTGTCTCCCCTCCAAACTGTGGTTTTTTACCCGAGTCTTTCAATTTACTCGTATAAATTCGGATCGATTGTGCAATAAATTACATAACCAGGGGACTTTGTCCATAGCGAAACGTGAAAATTCATTCTTGTGATGTCGTATAATGTTTTATACATTTTGGTCTTGTTTACTATTTTCCACCATTTATTCATTCGTGTTGTTTTTGCTTTTTTATCATTACAGAAATACCAAAACCTTCTTTAGCCCCAAAAAGTGCGTCCGAACTCAACCGGGCGAATAAAGAAGGTAAGTCCATGTCACCATGTCTGCTTATCAAGCCATCATATTATAACAGTAATATTTTACCGATTAATAACATTCATATTTGAATGAACAAATATGGTACATTATTAAAGATTAATTATCTTTTGTCCGTAAATATATAATTACTAATATTTAAAATAATATTAAAATGCAAAATGTTGGTCATCCGTACTTTAAACTTGGCCCCAAAACGTATATTTCTCTATTAGTTGTATTTAATTCATATTTTAAATGACTAAACAAAAGTATATTAAATAGTCTTATATTATAATAATAGTCCTATTCATAATATTTTATTCAATATTATTAGATATTATAAATATCTTCAATTTATGTACATTGTAAACAATTTAAACTCTATTTTATGATTGTCATATATAATTTAAAATTTAAAAATAATATTATTTATTCATCGTTATAAAAAATTAAAATAAATTAAAAATATTTTTATAAATAGTATAAACAATAACTACTAACATCTTTATATTAGAAAATAATTATACCCAGTTTTTTTTTTACAATTTAATACCAACCCTCGACCACTTATCCATACTTTACACAAAACCTATGGAACTCAATACCCAATATGGTTACATACTTATATGTACTATATTACTAGTAAATATTATCTTACTGTATTCAATTTTAAATTTAATTTCTATAAAAATACAATATTAGAATATATTAAATTATTAAATCCTTCAGACCATAATAAAAATATATTAGCTAAAATAATTTGCAACGATAAATAAAATAGCTAATATAATTTTTATTGATTTATAATAAATTTGATAGGATGATTCTTAAGTATTTTATGTTACTTTCCATTATTTTTCAGTTACTTTTCATTCCTATGAATTACAAAATTATATAATATGAATTATATAAATCCAATAACCACCCATTATTATTTTTCAACATAAATTCTTATAAATGTATCTTCTGATTTTTGTAAAGAAGTCCAAGCTTTTTTTTAAGCTAACCTTTTATATAGTTTTCTAAACGCCCCAAAATTGACTCCGTCTAATAATTCAGTTATGAATAATTTCTCCAACTAAAAATATATATTATGTTCAGTAACAACATAACAACCATAAACCACTCACGCCGGTGAAAATATATTTAAATCTAGTAAGACATAGAAAATCTCTGTTAGTGCAAATCATTAATTGTTTTAGCATCTGAGAGGAGCGATTGTATTGGTTTTACAATGATGTTTTTTTTTTAAAAAAAATGTTGTATCTTATAAAACACATTTTATAGTAGAAACAATGCTTTCATATCTATTTTCAAGAACGGTTTCTGGTAGAAAATTGGATGTGTATGGTACTTTGGAGGAGAGGAGGGGTCAAAAGTAAAAATTTACCGTATTTTGTTTTATTTTAAAAAAGGAAAATTCGAAAAAAATTACTGAAATATTTTACACAACAGAAATGTTTGACAAAATCAATAGTTTTTTTCTATAAAGTTAATAAAAAAGTTTACGATTTGTCAAAGTTTGACAATTTATTATAAGATACATCATAAGTAATAAGCGTTCGAAGTTACGAACGCAAAAGTCGCAAAATCACTATATTTTCAAATTAAATTATAGTTAAAAATTCATAACATTTTCAATTTTAATTGTTACAACTAGAAAATATATCTAATGCAAAGTTTCTGATAGGTTTTTCCGACAGAAACTTAGAAATATTCACAATTGTTCTATGTCAATAGACATTTTAAGTTCAAATGTTTATGAAATTGGATATTAAAATAACAATTATTCTGGTTGCCCATTTACTAGTATTTCTTAAAATATTATTCTTTGGGACTTGAATATTTTCACCGTTACATATATGTTTATTTACTATATGCAGTATTATACACAATGCAATTTTAAAAATATTTAAATTATATTAAAGCTATTTATACCACGGGGCCTATTCATACCGTTCTACCGTGGTACGGCGTCATTGACTTTCAAGTTAATAACTATTAAACGTACTAACCTATAGTTATAGTATATTATGAAATAATATTATCATTATTGTTATAATAATATAATATTGTATGCAATTGGTATTTGGTAAAAAATGTTCCAACCAATCATATTACTCATAAGTGAAAAATAAATTAATAATAGTAGATAGAATAAATCGTATAGGTATAATAAATATATAAAAAAAATATAAACTTAGAAATATTTGCTGACAGACCGTCTCCGCTCAGAATCGTTTTTCGTTTACAATGATTTACCATTGAATTTAAATAATTTAACACATTCGTTACAACTTACAGTGACTTACTCAATAACGAAAAATAATCGACAGCATCGCGTCTTCCCCGGCTTTATTTTTAAACATAAATAAATAAATAAATATGTGATTAATAAATCAAATGTGTACATTATTTAACGAGTGTTCATATATATATATATATTACATATACATTTTGTAAGTAATATTATATTTATATTTAAATGTAACACATTTTTTACACAATATTATAAAAATACTTTATAATACTATAAATATTTTATTCAGGTCAATACGTTTGCAACAAATTTAATTAATAAACTTTCTTTTTAAAAAATCATAATAAATTTAAAATTTAAAAGAATTCTTATTAAAAAAGTAATAGTATACAATGTATAGTACCAACATTATTAACATTAAAACTGTTAATTCAATAATTATAAATTGTTGTTTATGGTTTGTATAATATATAGGTACTATATTTGATGAGTTGTACCTATGCAACTTCTTGGGACAAAGTTTATGAAAACGACCCATTTCTTTGCATTTCATAAATAATGATTGTATAATGCGTCCGGTACTACAACTCGTATGTTCTAAATAAAACTTTGTAATTGTATAAAAACCATAAATAATACGAGAAAACGTTTATGATTCATAAAAATAGACTCATAAATAAAAATTTTATTATATAGTAATATAATAATATTATAGGTACATCAATGGTATATTACAACTTTCTTATAGATAGTGGTGTACCTACCTCAATATGTAGTTTTTGAATATTAACACCCACAATAGTATGTGTATTGTGTATGATCATCGGCATGTGAGGTGCAAAAACAAAACCGACGATACCTACGACTTATATATGTATATGAGGTATAAGTGTATAACACACGTGACTGCTATTTACTGGAGGTGATATCTGTATTGGTCTGAGTTCAAAGAGTATGTGCTAAACGAGAAAGGATGAGCTGTAAATTCGGTTTAAAGTACTTCGTAACTTGTGGTTAAGCTTCTCAAAAGAACAAAAATACAAATCATGTTAGCTACTACCGATTATCGTGTTTCAGTTCCATTATACAAATTATATAGGTGGAATTACGATTCTACATTTTCATTTATCGGCATATTTTCGAGAGGTCGTGTAATTCCCTCAAAGATAAATCCTGTATATAAATGACTTAGATCACTTTATATATTAAACACGTTACTCTTAAATCCACTGCTAAGACATCTTTGATATTCTAAAAAAATCAGAATTTCTACGATTTGGTAATAAATTATATTTTAGATTCCTTTTTAAACTGTTAGATTTCTATTTCAAATTAAACACCATGACGAAGGCATGGTGTACATGATATTGATTCGATCGTCCTTAGTAACCAAACACTTTTATATATTATAATACTATAACTTATATGACACAATACACCAATATATACCTACATTTATAGTATAGCTCTACTTTGTTTCTAAGATATGTCGAATGTCGATATTATGATATACTTAATAACAATTAATAATTGTATAAGTTTACTTTCAATATAACGAACAAAAAATAACTATACCATTATTATTTCAGGTTATACATTTTATAATGAGCCAAAAATGCAATTCATTTTGTCAAAATTCCGTCCAATTTTTCGTAATACATTGTGTTTCAAACTTTCAAATAGAATATCTTAAACTGTTGAAAAAAATGTATGGAAAGAACATTATGAAATTCGATTGCCCTCCCCCCCCTCCCGTTTAACACTGAAAATTTTGAAAAAAATATATTTTAGACTTAACAATTTAGTACCTCACTCGAAAACATTAGTACAATTAAGCCTAAATATGGGCGAGAGATAAGGACAGTAAAGGTAATATAGAGATATATAGTGACATTGATTTCAAAACAGTAGAATGGAGTAGCTGATAGTGAGGGTGAGAGCATGCGCATAGGGTTACCTGTTTGTTTGTGGCATTCATTGTTAACCAATGGCGTTGTGTTATGGTTGGTTTGCAGTTTTGAAGCAACCAAAAGTGTCGGTGGTGCGAAACATGACTGGCCAGTCTGTCCGGGACAACCGGCAGCATCAGTCGCGTCCCGTCAGGCCCACCGTTCCTGGGAGACTCGAGGCCTCAGGTGGGCAATCTCGTACGCCTTTTTATAAAGCACATTTGTTTTCCTTTTTATTTCATTTTTTTGCACACATTTATTATGCTAGTTGTTTTTTTTTTTTTTTTGTAACTCACTCGCAATTTATTTAACTTTTGAACACACGTTGATTACATTTTGTTTTGACAATATATAATATATACACAGGTTTCACATATTATTATTTATTTGGCTTGTACACAGATTGTTGTCCTCGTTTGTTCCTCCTAGAACGCGGTAGATACTCATCAATTGTCATTAATAAATTATAGTATAAGCTGGACTATGACGATAACAACTGAATTATTTTTTCTTAATATTTGAAAAATCCGCGCACCTATTATACTTTAATTACTAATGTATTAGGTTTAGAAAAGATATAAATAGGTAAATAGATTAATAAACAACCATTTCACTCATAACTTTTAATTATCTGTGTATTAAACGATTATATTACCGTTGGTATTTGATACAAACAGGATAAATAACGATAAAACGAAAATAATAATTAATTAATAATAGGTACTGTTTGTTTAAAAAATAAATTACGTTAGAAACGAATTAAATGGAAATTAAATAAAACGATTTTGAAAAACTGTGGGGTGAAAATTTATTTTCTCTTCCACCTTCGATGTGGTTACAACGAAAAAAGAAATAATAATAACGACACTAGAGAATTGTCTACGTGACTCGCTTTTATTTCCCTACATCAGTATGCTTGGAATAAAATTTCATTTTTAATACACACACTCTAGATTAGTTTCAAATATATAAATTCAAAAACTAAAAAATTGTGACAATTTTGATATATAATATAATATTTTAAGCCGAATAAAATATACGTGTCTTTAGGTAGGACGTAGGCTTATCGTATATTCATAGGCGCAAATTGGGAGTGGCTTGGGGGTGCGAAGCCCCCTCCCCAAAAAAACCTAGGACATACAGTTTTAATATGCTATATTGCAATGGTCTGCTTGCTTTTAATATATTCAGCCCCCCAAGTCAAAAGTTGAAATTGCGCCTATGCGTATATGTACTACTTGATTGTATACTCGCATTTTAATTTCATAAAAGAAAACAGTGTGTGCATGTCTGCAGAAGACGAGAATATTTTGTTACTGTAATATACTTGAATGTAGTATATAATATATTATTTTTCATAAGTAAAACATTTCTAATCTATAAAACAGAATAAGAATTCGCTTGCTGATTTTTATGTGAAATGTTATTAAAATCAGATGAGAATAAAAATGGTGTATTCATTAGGTGAAAACTAAAATTATGGACTGCGATAAAAAAAAAAAGGCAAACTTAATAATATAATAATATCTATTTAATTACTTTTCATGTTAAATTTTTTAACATTTTAAAAACTTTTTGAGTACATCCTATATATTTTATAATAATATGTTAAGTTTTTGTATTGCTTTGTGAATACCATTAATAAACCATTGCACTGCAGGTTATGCTATGCGATTTTGAACACGACATCCATTGTACGCGTTTTGACTTGGTCTGTTGGTTTGAATCATATCCGCTTTGAGTTTGTTTTAATATAAAAGTCTCACCTACAGAGATTTATAAAATACTAAAGCAGTTTGAAAGTTGAAATCGTTTTTGTTTTAGTTTTATTTTAAATACATTATTGCGTGCCCTGTTGAAATTGTGTAAATCCATTTCGAAATGCCTCTCGGCAGCATCATTAACGGGCCAACATTTTTTTTTTTTTTTTGTCACACGTTTTATTTTATTTTACTATTGTTACCATTCTTTTTTTCATATTTTTATATCACATATTTTATCCATCGCAAGCAATATCGTTGTACTGTCGACCACCGTAAATATTTGCTCATTGGTTTCACTAAACCCGATATGACTCGGGCCTTTAGAACCAACAAATCTTATTTCTACACAACTGATGTTGCTGTTACTTGTATGTTTTTGTTTTTCAGGCAATTGGGGGCCTAGCAGATACAGCCGGTCTCAAATCGTAATAACCGTGTTTGGTGTGGTCACGTGTCTCACGTCCTCGCATCACATACCATCATGAACGGCTCAACATCCTTATTATATATTATCATAACATTATATTATTCTACAATAATAGTTGAATTTTGTTTTGTTTTGTTGTATAAATTTTAATATATTATATTATTATAATAATTATGAATTGTAAGTTAAGTATGTTACGGAACTCAACAAATATTATTGTTGTGAATAATTGAATAATTAATAACAATAACGCTTGATATTATCGAAATGCTATAATAGAAAATAACTTTAGGTACCGCTGCAATTTTACGTTGAGAAGGTATTCTAGTTGCGATAGAAATTATTGTATTTTAGAACTCATTGTTGAAGAATCAAATATCATCATAATATGTGTCAATCTAATAAAAAATGTTATATATTTATTTGAAATACCTACTAATTTAAAACTTCAATCTATTTGTACTTTATTCGCGTAGTGCCGTGTGTTTATACTAATTTTGTTTCATTTAATAATTTTTCAGAAAAAAAAAAAAATTTAAAAAAAACTTTAAATCCCCTAAATATAGAGTATTATAGGTAGAATATATCGTTTAAAAAAAAATAGAATGCTATAATAAACTCTAATTTTGCTTTGAAATACGACCATGCTTGCAGGTTGTACTAATTGCATGAAACGTACAAATAAATCTTAATATTTCTTATCATTTGGAGGGTAAAAATGATGTTTGTTGGATCACCCCATAAAAACGTTTAGACATTTTGAGTGGCGAAAGAACTATGTGTATAAATAGAATATTTATTAACTATATGTATAAATAATATCTCAAGTGGAAAAAAGGTCCTATCGCCGTTCAGGATGACCTGTATACAATAGATTCAATTGAAGAAAAAAACACGCATAGGTAAGTTTGTGCGCGTTATTAAATTATTCGTATGTTGTACTACTGGTCTTACGACGTTGAATACGTAAACGACGTAATTTTCAAATCCTTTGGAAAACTGGAGTTTAAAAAAGAGATTTCGTACGACAAAATGTGCAGGTTATCATATGTGTGTTTACATAATATGGTATATTTGATCAATTTGCAACGATGTACATTATATTATTATATACCTTTGTTGAACTATTCAAATATCGCTAAAATCGGTTAAAAGTAATACACACAGTTCCACAAACCATCTTATATAATATTAGTATTAGTTTATATCTCGCTATACACATATTAACGTTTCCTCGGTTTAATGATTTATTTTTATGTTTTTCAGTAAATTCCTATTCGTTGCCAAAGATGACACATGACGTGACAATATTATAAAAAAAAAACAGTTAAAAAATAGCAATATAATATTTTAAAGTGACACGTTGCGAGCACTAAAAAATGTAAATAAAAACAGAGGGTACGTATGTATTAATAATGTATTTAGCTGTGGTATAAGCTCTTGGAAATTCGTATGGTTAGGGTACGCTTTGTTTTTATGCCCAGGCGCAACGCAATAAACGCACAAACAGAATGTTTTTTAAGTCTCTAAAAACTTGAGGACATAATAACGTACCAGCAGCCAGTGATGCTTAATAATAATCATTGAAATCGCTAACCTGTTAAATTAAATGAGAATAATTTTTATAATTAAAACATACCTTTCGGGGCATTCGCAAAAATATCATTCCGTTATCTTTGCCGTACCGCGTACAATAGCATTCATAAGAGAATGATAATAATACTAATAATAATGAATGGAATTTCAAAATTTCAAAAAATGCCTGTCATACCAACTCTTTGAATATACTCACCCCCCACAAACGTGGATCAATGCAATGTTCATGTTCAGACAATGTCTAGGTAATAATATAATAATATGCACATAACTTCCCAGTTCGAGTTACTTAAATCTACGTACCTAATTACACATTTACACTAAACACTCAAAATTAATAAAATACTATATCTACTTTCTTTTAATGTGTTGGCAGATAGAACAAATATAATAGAATTCGTTTCAAATCACTTCAAACTTTACTATGGTATAACTAAAACTTATATCACTCCATTAATAACGTGATTTGAAACTGTCTAATTATATGTTGTTCGATGTACAATAAATTATGAACCGTAGACAAGACCTATTATTACTGTTGAAAAGCCAGATGCTAGCGGTACGCATGCCGATGTACCATATTATTCGATTTAAAACAATTCGAAATCATGTTGATACCTCTCAAATTTTACACGATACCACAATATTATAATTTTTTTTTATTACTGACCTTTAAACCCGGAAACTATAGTCATTAGCTATTTTTTTTGTTGTTTTTTAGGGGGGGGAGTGGTTGCGGAACGGTTGGTTGAAACACTTATGTTTTTAGGTTTGTCAGAATTTCAATTGGGCATTCGTAGGTTTCTGCCATGCCCGATCGGGCGATGGTGGCCTCACTATCTAGACAGTATTGTCTGCCCAGAAAGAGGAGCCGCCCATAGTCGAGATTTGAACCGGCGACGGTACGCGTCGAAACCGACGCAGTAGTCCGCTCGTCCACTCCGTCCCCCCAATATTATAATTTATTATATAGAATTATTGACAATTTATTGAGGCTATTCTGTTGTAGTAGGTGTATGGATACTGATATTATGCATAGAATTTTTTTTTATTTTTACAAGAAAAAAGAACCCATATTCTTTCACAGTAATGATAATATGTAATTTTTCTGTTGACACACTTCGAAATAGTAAAAAATTCACGCAGCACGTCGATACTATAATATCACACAAAGAAAAATATTTAACTAAAAAAAATCATACCATTCCTGGTTAGATTTTTTTAAGATTCCATCGCCTTCCCCGGACTAACATAGACGGTCACTAGAACCACCTAGTTATTTTTATTTGATTAATACGATGATGGTCATAGTATAATATGTTTTATAAGTCGTCCCACTTTTAAAAATTGTTATAATAGGTACTATGTTATACACAATACACAGAGTTCATCAATTGACAATTTGTAATATATAATATACGCATTACGCAGTATAAATACTGTTCATGTTTAACCCTATAGGCTATAGGTAAGTTTTTTTTTATTATTATTTGTAAATAGGTTAGGTTATACACAATTTGTAAATTATTTGGTTTTTACAATAGGTACCTAGGCGTATGAGAGGTTAAGTTAGCATGAATTAACTGATGAAAAGAAGCCACCCATCAATGACACTCTTTTTGTATGATATTATTTAGAGATTAATTTGGATTTATCAGTTCTTCTATTGGCGAGTTAATCATCTAAGTTTATTTCCGGGGGTATTATTTTAGTTGAAATCTCCAATGATGACCTTTGAGTGGTTGGCTAAGCGAAATCGAAGAAGGTGAATTTAGTTTTGGATATAGTGTCTATGTGTATATCGGACTAAACTACTATAGGAGTGTTAAGCGTAATTTGTAACAGGGAAAGCTACACCCGTCAGGTGGAGTGTAGTTGGATTGTTTTTAAAGCTTGATGGTTTGGCTGCTCCTCAAATTTTGGATTCCATATAACCAAATAGGCATTAACAGTGCCCAATGAATATATATAAAATTAATATATTTTTAAGACTGATATTTTCTTTTTGTTGGATATAAACTAGAAAGTAAAAATTCCTTCGGCTTTGGTTTAACAACAGTAATTTTATATTAATATGGTGAGCCTAATTAAGTAGCTTATATAAAAACATACCCAAGTAGTGGACGCTTGATCCAATAAACTTGGTAGGTATTTAAAAAAAATTCTTGTTTTCAGTTTTAAATAATAATCAAACTGGTCATAAAAATACAAATTTTATGAATAACAGTCTGACACTTGATGCAGAGATAAAATCATATAATAAAAGTAAACTATTTACGTTTGGTGATAATCACGATTAAATATATTTTTTTAGTCGGAGTGATAATACAGTAATAACTTCGTTACACAATTACACTAAACTTTTGAATTTGCATGTAGACTTTTATTTATTAAAATTGAAACAACATTGTCTTTCATTTAATTTTGGTTTAATATTTGAAATTCTCATCTTAACTTATTGAGTTAACATTAATTGTTATTTGCTATACGAGTTTGAAAAGAAGTATTTCGGATTTCAATAAATACAGTTGCAGTTATTTAAATTCTATTGAAAAACAATTGAACACAACGTAAACTATGATTGGAGCACTTAAACCTGAGTTTGAAGAATAGTGTACAAATAATCTTTTAAAGTTCCTAGGAAATGTGTAATAGATAGGTACTTTATCTGTATTTGACTTAAATAATTCTATTAAGCTTAATAACTAATTTACATTTATACGGAACATCATAAAAATATTGACTATGTTCAAGATATTTGTTAATTACAATATAATATAATATGTTGTCCATCAAAAACCGATAAAATTCGTTTTAAAGTAATGATAAAATATAAACAAATATTATTGATCAAAATGGTATTTAATATTAATTTCTATATCGAATTACCTTATTCGTTTATTTGATATCAATTTCAATGAAAACATAATTTCATAATTTTAAGAATCCATGAAAACTTTATTTATTTAATATTTAATGAAATTTAATTAAAAAATAATATATTTGTTTAGCAAGCCATCTAGTTAGTAATTTCTTAAAACTTTTATGTTAATTATAATATAAAACTCCTCTATGATCTTACGAGATAGTTTCTATTCCAATAAGATTATTCTAATATAGTAAATTTAAGAAATAATTCGTTTGACATTTTATTTTTACTTTAATAAAGAATTCTTTTTAATTAAAACGTATTTACATAATAACATAATAAATTCTATGTTACTTTAATATACATAATATTATGAATGCGTTTCAATCATTTTACTAGGTATGTAAAAGTATATTTTAGATAATGTTAAATAGTTAAGTGAAGAAAGTTTTTAATGTTGCTGTTTTTTCTTATTATTCTATATTATACATATATTTTTTTTAAGTAGGTACCAATAACTTAACAATTTAAGATAATTTCATATCTTTTTTCTGATTAAATTAATTTCCATAGGAGTCATTATTATAAGTAAC